TGACAAGCATCCTCTAAAGAATTTGCTTTAGGACTCATTAATGTCACCTCTAAGGTATCCCAGTTCTAGGCTACCATCTTCTCCTCTAAACTGACTCCTGTTCGAGACTGTCCTATCTATGTCAGGAGCCTTCCAGGTCACCAGGACTCAGCTAGTTTTAATGATCTCCTTTGTCCCAAAGCTCTAGAAACAGTCTTCTCTACTTGTCCTTCAAAAGATGTCTTGTACTTCTGAGCAAATAATTTGAACAGACATTCACATGAAAAGCAATAATGACATTAAATAAACATGTGAAAAATGTTCAAATTAGAATAATCAGGGTAAGCAAATTAAGATGACAGTAGGTATAACTTATGTCAGAAAAAGAAAAATTTCAAGGATGGCAAAATTTGGTGTGAAGAACTGTTCTAGTATATTGAAGATGGTAATGTAAAATGCCTCTTGAGGAAAGCCATTTTTAAATCTGTGAAGGATCATAAGAATGTTCATATACTGTAAACTAGTAAACCAAACTCCAGATAGTAATTTCCTTAATAGTTATTTCAGGTAATTGTTTTAATCAGATAATTCAAAATGAGGAAAAATTCTATGGATATTCAAAATGTTCTAGATAATCATTTTATAATAACAAGACATTGAAAACAACCTGATTGTTCAATAATTTATGATTGATATAACAAATTAGCATACAATAAACAGATGAAATATTATATAGTCATTAAAATTATAATTACTGAGGAAGCATGAATGAAAATTATTTATCAAATGATGCTTAGTGTACCAGGATACAAAAGCTCATTTGCATAGTTATTATAACCATGCCAGAAATAATCTCCACACGTATAGAAAAAGCAAACAGGAAACTGGAGCAATAAGGTGGTAGAAATAAGGCTATTTTTTCTTGTGCTTAATTTTCTGTAATATTGTTTCCACAATAAACAATTATATTTTTCCCAAAATATTAAATATATTGATCTATCTTTTATAGTGCATTTCAACTGCACCTCCACAGCCACATCCCTAGTCCAAGCACACATTTTAATTTCTGGATGAGTGCCCCACTTGGTTACTCTCCAACTCATCTCATTTTCAAATGCTGCCAAGTTGCCTAAAATGCCACATTTATCAAGTGGTATCACCTGATTGTCAATAATTTTTAATTTGAGTTTATTTTCGTTTGAAAGTTTCATACATTTATATAATGAATTTTAGTCATTTTCAAGCCCCATTCTCCTCTTATTAGTGGGGTATCAAGTGTTGACATATGTATACAATGAATAATGATTACATCAGGGTAAGTACCTCTCTCTCAAATATTTGTTGTTTCTTTATGGCAAAATGATAAAACCCCCGTATGGCCTTTTCGTGTGTACAGTTGGCCACTGCTATCTGTAGTCACCACATCACACACCCACATCGGAGCTTCGTGCTACTGTCTAACTGGGACTCAGTCCTCACTGGTGACAGGTGAACAAGATTTGCTCCTATTTGCCATCTGTTCTAGTTTTCCAGGCCTACCCATCCTGGTCCAAAGCTTCATTAGTCATACTTCTCTCCTCTCACTGCTGAGCACGCTCCATGCTTTCTCCTTCTCAGCATCAGATCTAACACTTGTAGTGTTAAGCTGTGTTTGGAAGGGTTTCTCCACATGTACTCATTTGCTTCTCACAAACATTTGATGTTGTTGCTCTTATCCTTTCTTGCAAATAAGAGGAGATAAAAATAGCGACAGAGATGAGATGAGATGAGATGAGAAGGGAGCGGGGAAAGAGGAAGCACATGAACATGGGTTTCAACTGAGGCAGTGTTAACTCCAAGGCCTTACTTAGTAATAGAGTCTATTATTCTAAGACACCTTGCTTCGGCTCCTCTCCTTCCACTTTCAGCCTTCACTTTTCTTATCCTTCCATGACTTGTTCCGAAACACAAGAAATACTTACCATATACTGGGGCCGAGTTTAAGGTATGTCTTGTTTAAGCTTCATGTTCTCTTGGAAATTTTTATAAGGAAAAGCTGGCTTAAAAGCTGAGCTGATCCCCTTCCCAGCTATGAGACCTTGAGTGGAATACTCACTCGCTCTCAATCTCAAATCCTTTATCTGAGTTGGCAGTTCTCAATGTGTGGTCCCAGGACCAGCTGTGCCGCATCAGCCAAGGACCCATTTAGAAATGCTGATTTTTGAGCCCTACCTCACACCTATGAAATTCGATGTTAGGGGGCAGAGTCCAATGGGCTCTCATGTTTTAATAAGCTCTCCAAATGTTTCTGTTGCACACTCAACTCCGAGATTCAATACCCTGGTCTAATGCCTACCTGCTGGAATTGTTACAAAGTTCTACCATAAGTTGTGCAACTCAACCCAAAGCACATAGATTGTTTTGCAAGTAATGATGTATTATTACTGCTGCTGAACTCTGTGTGGGCTACTATTTTCTCTTCAAGCTGTGGGCAGACAACATTTCTTGCTGCTCTCTTACTAGTATCTCCCACCTCGCTAAGCAAAAGGCAGTGCCCATGCTAAGCTTTAAGTAAGATTCTCTTACTTCACTGATGAGTGAGTAGGAGAGGCATTTTGAAGACTGCTGAGGTCTAGAATACTGTTTCAGAAGCAAGACTACTTGGGAATAATGAGGGGCTGTAGGCAAATGAATGTGTTTGTGTGTACCTCAATTGCTTCTCTCTATTAAATGGAGAAGAAACTACGCCTACACTGATTATACCTACTCTACAACCTCACAGTGATAAATAAAGACTTATAAAAATGTATTCCATGGTGCCTACAACATATAACTGAGTTATTTATTGCCTTGGGGTGTCACTCTATAGTGAAGTACTTGCTTAATGTACAAAAGACAGTCCTTCCCCAGTCATGAAGAAAAGGAAAAAAAAAACAGGAAAATGTTAGCATTGTTTTTGTGTCTTTTCACCCATGCAGTGGTGAATAGATTCTATTTCCTCTTTCGGCAAGCAGATGATAAATACCATTTGAAAGATGCCCTGTGTTAAGCACAAAGAATAAGGGTATGCTCACGGTATGGTATCTTTTTTTAAGGGTCTCAGTCTAATAATATATGAAACCTGACAGTGTCATTGGATTAAAATAATGCCCATAAGGGCATAGTATAAAACAGTTCAGAGCTTATGGTGGGGGGGGGTCAAGTCCAGCCATGGAATTTCTGCCTAGGACTTAGACTCCTGAAGCATTATGTTGAGGGATCTATTTGCAGTCTGTCCTTTATGGATCCCAATGGAAGCAGGTTTAATGGGGGGGCAGGAACTTTGGTGTCAGACTCTATGAAACCTAACATGATCATTTGCTTTCTATAACCTGGGTTAAATTATATAGCTTCTCTGGACCTTATCTATAAAATAGGCAGCATGAGAACTAGTATGGAGAGTAAATGCAATCTTGAATGTAGAATGATAATTATAGATGATTAATAAATATTGGGAACTATTCCCTTTCCCATTGCAGGGGAAAATGAGCAATTTTACCAGACTTTGGAATGAAAGAAAGGTCAAAGTAATTCCCAACTATGCTATCAAATCAAGGGGCTAATATTTGGAATGCAGTTAGGAAATATGCCAGTCAAAGAGAGCAGTTTTTCCTCTAAACAGTTTTTAGTTTTCTATAAATAGCAGGTCTTTCCTTAAGACCCACAACTGGGTAGTTGGCTAGGCTGCTGTTATAAGGCATGATTTTCCTCTTGTTGAGTTGGTCTTAAGTCCAATGAGACAGCTGTTGGTTACCACCACGACTAACTGTAGCTCTTTTCTTCAAAGGAACTATTAATCAGTGTTCCCCAGGCAGGAACCCCTAATTGGTTATACAAAACAAAATGGTCATGCCTAAAATCATATACATGGAAGGAAGCAACACTAAAAGGACTCAGCAGGTTGCATTTATAAATTTATGTGTACACACACATATGCATTTCTATGTGTGTTTGACAGTAAGTCAAAGAAAAACAGGCCATAAATTTGAGAGAGAATAAGTGGGGTCATGGGAGGATCTAGAATGAGGGACATGGGGAAGATGTAGGGAAGAAAGGGAAAGGTGAAATGACCTAGTTACATTTGAATTAAAAATAATGGAGCATAATGTAGACCACCTACAAGAATTCTGGACTATTTAAGAGCCTGTAGACCATGATTCTCCTTGTGTCTCTTAGTGCCTTCATTTAGAGAAGAGAGTCACAGCTTGGGGCCTTTTTTTCTGTCTTCTGGAGATGGCAATGGGACTCAAAATCATTGAGAACCCTCTTTTACTACCTGGCCCAAGAAAAACTGGCTGAAAGAGCATATCAAGATGTACAAAAAAAGGGATGTGACTAGGCAAGCAGCAACCCCAAAGGAAGTGACTATCTACACCTCTGATTCACTTCGAGCCACCACATAGGACACCTCATCTCTAAGGAACATGAGTGTTGGGGACTGTGATCCACAATTATAGGAGTTAGGTGTTCCATCCTGAACAAAGCAGTTATTTTTTCCTTTATTAAAAGTCGTATGTGCCTTTCTCCAACAGTTGCAACCTATAACCACGTTTTCACAGCCCGCAAATTCTCAACAAGTCCTACTAAAATTGTGCTGGCAGAACCCAAGAAGCAGGTACCTCCAACAACCTGGGACAAAGAGAACAGTCCCTCCTCTCTGCTGAGTCCAACTGCTTTTGGCCACTTGGGAGGCAGGCACAGTTTATGCCTTAGCCCTCGTTTCAGTCTTGTTCTCTGTGTCTTTGGGTATATCTAGATGGACTGCCTCAGACAGACATACCTTCACAGCACTGATGACTATTCTAAAATGTCCTCACAATCTATCTGGTTTATATCTAGATGGTAGTGTAGGGAGCACATTGAATGATATTTATGGCAGCAACTCCTTGGTGTGAAGAGCAGACCAGTTTTGTTAAAGAAAATCGAGTAAACCAAAAGTCATAGCAATTTCTAAAGAACCCCAGAGGCACAAAATCACCCCAACTGCCGGAGCAATCACTTACCTCCCTGAATGGCTAGTTTTCCTGTTGCCTGCTATTGGTTTCCACTTGTCCCCAGGAAATTCCTGCAAAGGAAAATTAGGGTAAGTTAGGGATATTTGAACAGCCAGGTATCCAGGTAGTTCCAAAATTAGCAGCTTGGTCAGGTTTCTTGGCTGGTAGCATGGACTCTCCCAGACAGGCTCCAGAAACGTCCACTTGGAAGGCTGCCATTCGTTTGGGAAGCGCCTACTGAGCCACTGTAGTCATGCAGATATCCTGAAAGCACTCAGAGACCTGGACACTGTGGGCTAAGAATGTTGAATTTTCCTCCTGCTCCACTCCCCTCCCAAACCACTCCAAAAAAGAGTTGAGCATGTTTGCTGTTTGCTGTAGCTCTTGCTGGCACTGAGGGTTGGAGATCTTTTTGTTTGTCCTACTGGATGAACCTGTTCATTTCTCCTGCTTCTTCCAATTTAGAAAGTATTTTCCTGGAAGTGCTGACCTGGAGGGGGCGTTGAGGGCAAGAGGTCGTGCTGCAGAAACCTTCCAGGCTTGGAAAACATAGAACAGAGATGTCAGTTACCCTCATCCTGCAGTTCTTACTCCTCTGCCCACATCTTCAGACAAAGGCTGACAGGAGTTCATCTCAGGGTGCCCTGGTTCACACATTAGATAACTAGATTGCCTACCTTAGATGTATTTTCCTGAATTGTTCGGCTATATGCCATTTGTAAAAATTTACCTTTCTTCTTACTACAGCCTGAACCTGAATGCATATTTGTTTTTCAGATTCCTCCTGGCTTTGCATTTAGCACCCTCAGCCTGGAGACTCAGAGCTTAGCCAAAGAGAAGGCATTTTTCCTAAACCACATTGATCTTCTAAATTCATTCTGCTCCAATACTGTTATTATTAGTCTTTTCCAAGGTTTATTGCCTTAGCCCCAGAAGGCCTCTCTTTTGGGGACAAACACCTGGTGACTCAGAATGACATAGGTCTTTGGTGTCAGTTATACTGGCAAAACATTTATTATCTGTGCTATGTGAGGGACATTCTGTCACCACTTGAAATCTCAGCCTGCTATGTGGCAAATAGATTGACAGGGAGGATCAAAGGAACTGTGTAGATAATACCAGACACAGTGCATGCTGTATAGAAGGCTCTGTGCTCACAGCACTTGTGAGTGTGTTGCAGGAAGGCCACTTGAGTGCACAAGACCAGCCTGAACAACACTGACTCTGCCTCAAAGAAAACTTCATTCTGGGTGTTAGTATGAAAAAGGTGGCAATATTTTCTGATTCCAGCTTTCATAAAACCAGAGAGCAGTCTGTTTGGGGCACATCTGAGCAATTCCAATAATTTGTACTTCACATTCCGTTGGCCTTGACATGTTTGTGAGATGTCACTGCCCACAGAGGCACCATAATGTGTCCAGTCACAGCACAAGCCAGGATTTCCTGTCCATGTTCTGTCTAGTCCTGTGGGGGTGCTTAGAAAATAGCAGTGGGTAAATCAGACAGAGCCCTTCACCCACTCCCATTGACCTTTCAAGATTATCAGTATTACTTTACTCTTTTGCCTGAGCAACTTAGTATCCTATAACTGGTCTGTGTTCTTTGAACCAAAGAAGCAATAGTACAATAGGTAGAGCAGTTGAGGACTATAGTAGAACTTTCTGTCTTCGTGAACGTGATATTGCTAGAAACCATCCTGTTTCCTACATGGAGAGAAGGCCTAGGCCTTGCAATCTACTTACAGAGAGGCAGGTAGCACACACTGCAGAACACAGTCTCTGCAGCTGGAAGCAGAGCTTCATTTTCCACATCTGTCCTTTTAACTCTGTTATATTATACATACATGTATGTTATACATGATAAACATATATGCTATATACATGTGCATATGTATAAATTGATACTACATGTTATACTCATATATATGAATATTTGTATACATTATGCCATAAATATATGGTACTTACTATATAGTAGCACAATCATGACAAGGGTACCTATTTCTTGATTGCTAGAAGGCTCAATGCATTGATACATCTAAAGCACCCAGAATCCAGTGGACAGGCTTATACAAGTTGTTTTCATGTTGTTCAAATTCAGCTCTGTACCTTGTACACTGTGTGATCTCTCTGAGACTCGATTTCAGCTATAAGGGTTAAGTGAAATCAACTGGTGATATATGTAAAACTAACTGACCTAAAGTTTGTGTGATGTAACTATATGCCGATTTCACTTCTCTAGATACCACTGAGTCAGAGCTAGTTAGCGCTCCAACCTTCTTTGTGCCAGAAAGAGCAGGCTCCACTACCTTAGTCGTCAGAGCTAGAGTGTGTAAACCCATGCTGCATGTCTTGCAAGGCCAGGAATATAGGATTCCAAAGACAAGGGTAGAAACGGCACATTCCTACAGGCATAGCCATCCACAAAACTGAAAGCCTAGTGTCTAAGCAGATATGCTTAGCCAGTCTAACAGACATTAGGAACCCAATGTGTCCCTTCCTCTTTCGGAGGTGCTGGTCCAGAGACAACATCCCTGTAGTCATCCTTGCTTTCTTTCCATTCACCTTCAACTCCCATTCCCTATTACTTGCTTATGAGTACAGTACTTCTTCCAGCCAAGATTTTCAAGCTAAGCCAAAGTTCCCTTCATCTTAAAATAGTTTCCTTATAAGATGATTACTGTCCACAAGTCACCGTTCTAAAGGCCTTGCATATGTTCGCCATTTAATCCAATTTATGAAGCAGGTGCTATTATTACCTTTATTTTTTAGATGAGCAAGATTAGGCACTATAAATTCTGGGGAAGGAATTTAAACCCAGTTGGTCTAGTTTCAGCTTCAATGCCTTTTGGGCATTATCTAATATTTCCTTTTCTATTTTATCAGCATTGTGAATATTTTCAAACATGTCAAAAAGATGAAAGTAGCCCGGTGGTGGTGGCGTATGCCTTTAATCCCAGCAATCGGTAGGCTGAGGCAGGTGGATTTCTGTGAGTTCTAGACCAGCCTGGTCTACAAGAGCTAGTTCCAGGACAGCCTCCAAAGCCACAGAGAAACCCTGTCTTGAAAAAAACAAAAACAAAACAAAAGAAGAAGAAGAAGAAGAAGAAAGCAGTTACAGTGAAATCCACTATCTAGATGCTACAATGAACATTTTTGCTGTATTCACCGTATCATGTATCTGTTTACCCCTGTATTCATTAACCACTACATCTTAAATTGTTCAGTGCCCTTCAAAGTATGTCCCAACAACTTTATCTGCATAAATGTAAAGACTTAAACATAGAGTAAGTCCTTGAAAGCCATAAGCTACCAAAGCTCACTCAACTAACTCTGTTTCTATTGGAGAAATTAATGTGCAGTTTCAGACATTCTCACAGAGAAAATTCAAGCCCAAATGATTTCAGTGATACATTTTACCACATGCTTAGAGAAGAAATAACAGCAGTGCTGTCCAAATTCTCCCTGCAAACAGAAGAGCAGGGACGCGTCCCACCCCATTTAGCTAGCATTACCTAGTTAGAAAACAACAAAGATTTCATAATACAGACTAAAATCTGTAATAAATGTACACTCAGAGGCATCAACAAATGCTAATAAATCAGATCTAGCAGCATAAAAATACGTACTACATTATGACCAAGTGGGGCTTATCCTGGGAATGCTAGGTGGATACTTATTTCAAAATTCAATCAATATAAACTCACCATTAATTTAGACGAAATTTAAAACAATGTGGGCATTTTAACAGAAATAGGAAAACACTTGAAAGAACCCCAAATCCATTATTCATTTCAAAAAGAGCTCCTCTGAGCTAAGACTAAAGAGTCATCTTTTAACCAGATAAAGGACAACAACAGAACCATCATTACAAGGTTGTAGCCACCAAACAGCACAGGGAAGCATTGAACACTGCAACATTGTTGCTCTTAGCATTCCTTCCGAACACTGTATTGGGGATCCCAGGAAAATTAGTTAGGTTTCCTTCCCCACAAAAGAACATATAGAACATGAAAAAAAATACAGAATTCCTTCTATTCCAAGACGATGTGACCTCCTATGTGCAAAATCTTCTATAACCTAGCAAAGAGGTACTAGAATTCCTCAGGGAGTTCAGCAAGGTTACAGGATATGGAGCTGATACACAATGTTCAACTGTATTTACATGTAGAAGTAACAAAGTATTTTAACTTAATATTCAGAAAAAAATATTGTTAACTATAGCTTCAAAGCCTATTGGAATCTTAGGCATATGCAAAGCAAAATATGTATAAGAGGCTGGGCATTGGTGGCGCATACCTTTAATCCCAGCACTAGGGAGGCAGAGGCAGGTGGATCTCTTGTGAGTTCCAGACCAGCCTGATCTACCTAGCGAGTTCCAGGACAGCCTCCAAAGCAATTCAGAGAAACCCTGTCTCGAAAAACAAACAAACAAAAATATGTATAAGATGCATAGGTGGGAAATATAAAATAATTTGTATACATGTGTATACTTCAAGAATATTTTAGCATGTGTGTTAAAGCTTATCATTTGCTTATAGTATCTTAGGTGAAATGTGTTTCCTATGACATGTACAAATATTAATGCCCATTTGTTGGTTGTTGATGAATATACTCATGTAAATCTAGTGCATATCAAGCTGCTTAATGTGCTTTCATGCCCTGTTACTTTCAACTTCCGTGCAAATACATACTGGCAAACACTGTTCTCCACCTTTTTGTCCAAAGCAAGAGCCATGTTATCCATTCATCTGTTGATGGACATATAGGCTGGTTCTATTCCTCAACTGCTGTAAGTATTGTAGTGGTAACTATGAGTGTGCAAGTATATCTGTAGCAGGACTTAGAATCCTCTGGATACTATTTATAATGTAATTTTATTTAGTCATAAAGAAAAGAGTAAATCATGCCATTTGCAGAAAAATGGGCAGAACTAAAAAAAATTACATCAAGCAAAATAAGTCAAACTCAAGAAGACAAATGGTACATGTTTTACCTTTTATGTGGATCCTACCTTTTAATTTTATTAGTACTAGCTGTTTTATAAGTGAATATATTTTCCCTTTAAAAATCATGGAACTTCAAATTATAATCATTTCATGGTTTGCTGAAGGTCACTCAGATACTAATTTTCAGTTAGAATAAATTCTAGTTCTGTTAATTTTAAGGAATAAAAATTACTTTCCCCAACCTCTAAAGTCACATGTGTATACTGCAATCTTGGTGGCTGAGTGTAGAGAAGGGGCTACATCACTGAAATGAATTAGACTTACATTTTAGAATAATGAATTTCACTCACCCATGAACCAAGTGCTCACCTGTAGTGATGCCTTCCTGGGTTTCCAAGCATTTCCAGATGCCAGGCTGCTGTCCTCAAGGACACCATGCTGAGGATTATGATAGCAAGCTGTACACCGAATGCATTGGTGGTGGTGGCACCTACAATTGTGGCAGTTTGGCAACAAATTTCTCTTTAGCAATGCAGGACAGATTTCTCCAGAACAATAAATGCAGGGATCATGCATTACAGTTCCCTGAACACTACAGGAATAGGAACAGGTCCGGTGATAATCAAAATCTCCACAGTGAAGTGTCTTACAGCACAGGGAATTTTCTAGGCCTTTGGTAGCAAAACATTCTGGGTAAGTGGGAGTTTCTGACTGAAGTGGTGACATGGCATGATACGGCTGGTCTGCAGCATGGTATGGTTGGTCTGTGGAATGATATGATTGGTCTAGGGGATGGCATCTCAATTCCCTATAGCTAACTGACTGGAAGTTTTGGTCTATGGGTTTTGGTCTCTGGGGAAAAGTCTTGTTGCTATGAGTAGTTAAGCCTGGCAAATGCGATGTAGACAAGGATTTGCTGCTCTCTTCAAAGAACTTTCGTCTGTCTGCAAATGGCAAGAGGATGGCTTCCTCTCCAGCTTGAGCAGTAGATGTCTTTGACTCTTTGTTGTCATCTGGGCTGGAAGAACCTTCTGTGGATAATGGCACCTGTGGCTGTGGGTTATATTCTGGTGACCATCTCCAGTGACCTCCACAGACCCCTTGGGGAGCATTTGCTTTGTCAGTGTCTAAGGAGGATGAGTCAGACGCCTTCCACCAGGTGTTCAGGCCCAAAGAAGAGTGGCCAGACCTCTGGCCAGGGCTTATCCTTCCCTCTAAGTCTACCCTAGCTTTGGAGCTCTCAGAGGCCTGGCTGAGGCACTCTGAAGACCTAGCTCTGAGCATCATGTTCTTGTTGAAGAGCTTGTCTCCAGGGCTGGGGACATTTTTATGTGAAGACAGAAGAGACGAGTTAGAAGCAGAGAGTGGAGGGCTCTCTGGAGGCTCTTGGGTCTCTTGCACTGGCTCCTTAGTGTCACAGAATTGTGACAATGGACCCTTACTTTTCTGGAGCTGGGCTTTCCTCCTCTGAATTTCATTCCTAAGATTGGTAGCAAACCTCTCACTCTTCCGCCGGTTTTGGATGGAGCGTCCCCGGGGGCCTCCACTTCTTCTGCCACCTAATTGGCCACATTCCTTGGCCTCACTGTTACCTTCTTCAGTTGTTTCTGCGTGACCAGCTACTTTAGAAGTTGAAAAGAAGTCTCTAGCTTGTTGAATGGAGGAGCAAGTGGCAGAGGGCTGCTGGCTGGCCAAGTCACTGCCTGTTCTGCTTGCTCTGTTTGGGTCCAAGTAAGTTCGTTCTGGCAGGTGTCCATCAACCTCTCCAAGTGGGGAACCACTTTGGCTCCGGTGTACCAAACCCATCAGCTTATCATCTATGAGCTTGGTCTTCCTTTCATTGCTAGGCTGGTCCTGAGTGTCTCCTGTGAGGAAACCTGGACTTTTCTTTCCCTTAGAGATGTTATGCAAAGGGGACACAGTCCACTGGTGCCCATCCTGCCCAGTTGGCAACTCCATCCCCTTGCTACCTCTGGAATCAAGGTGCACTTGCTGCAAGTGGGACGCCAGCAGCTGCTCAGGGGCACTATGACGATGTTCTGTGGTTCCTCGGAGGCGTGGAATGGCACCAAAGGTCAAAGTGTTAACCAAATCTGCTGATGCCTCCTTGACCAGGCTGAACTCTCTGCTGGAACCTTTGTCATGTGTTTTTGGGGAATCAAGAGCTTTAGAGGAGCCCTCTATCAGTAGATGCTCAGAGTCCTCCTGGCTGGATTCAGAAGGCTGGATGGGCTCACAGTTCTGGTGACCCTCACCTGTCACTTGGTCTTGCCCACTTACACAGCAGAACTGGTTAGGGTTCCTTGTAGACAGCGCTGTGTCTAAGCCTTGTTTCTCCTTCTGTTGCAATGAGTCCACAGGTTCAGATGCACGGCGTTGCTCTCCATTGAGGAGTTGGGATCTAGAGGCCTGAAGGCTGTCCCGCCTCACTGGAGGCTCTGGTGGACCTTGGACCATCTTGGCAGGTCCCGAGTGCTGGCCCTCCTCTGGGCAGGATGATTCATGAGAAGCAGAGGTCTCATGGTCCCCACTGGTACTGTGACTACTTCCTGAAGTCTCAGATACATTAGGTCGGCCATCAATGGCTTTAGTTTGCCCTGGGCCTGACATGACACAGTCTGTGGAGGGTGGTTCCTCTGGTCTAAGAGACAGGGCACAGTCAGAGGCATTTGAGCTAGCTGAGAAGGAGCTGTAAGCTGAGTCACGCTGGCTGGGGTACATATTCTGGTCAATAGGTAAGAGGTGGCCCTCGTAGGTAGCTTGGCCTGGCTGTTCCAGGCTTTCCATGCTGCCAATAGAGCTGCTTTTCTCAGTGCTGCAGTGTCGGGAGAGGGGGCACCACTGTACACACACGTCACTGTAAGACACAAGATACACACGTTAGTTAGCCAAGCGATCAGACACTTTTCCTACTCTGCCCAGTCCACCATGGGAAAGGGCAGGGCAGATCAGAGTCACCCATGTTACAAATGAAAGGAAAATGAGATAAAGGGGGAAGAAAGGGAAATAAGTAAGGAGACTGACACATGCATACCATAGAAACATGACAAAATGAGACAGGATTTCCTATAGAGGAAGAATGAACAAACAACCCAAAGAATGGGGAGATGCCACGGGGATTATGCACTATGTCATTGCTAACAGCAAGTCTTAACTTGCCTCTGAATAGTCACTGTTGGGCCAGTGTACTGTTCTCTGCCAGGAGAGACAGTCCAAGCCATCAGCATTAGAGAGACCAATGACACTGATTTGACTTCAGCCAGACCATTTCATAAAGCAGTGATTCTCAAACCTGAGTGTGCATCATAATTACATTCAGGGCTTCTTATACACAGGCTACTGGGACTCACTACATTTCTGAATCCACTGGTGTCGACGAAATTAGGTCTACAGAGTAGTGACTTTGAGAAGACAATTTTTACAAACTCTAGTGGCACAGGCAGGGATCAAGTTTAAATGTTCCTTTATTCTGGAAATTCCTATCGCTTTATTTGCTGTGCTGGTGGTGGGACTGAGGGCCCAGAACATACTAGTGCAGAGTGCTGTTATTGGGCTACATCCTCTGAACCTACTATTTTTCTTGATTAACAGAAATTTTGATTATTTACTGAAGCCTTTTACAGTCTTCCATTTGAAGCCCAAATGAGATTATTCACTTCAATTTTTTAGTCATGAAGTAAAGCAAACTGACTATTTCAGAAAGGTGTTGAATTGCAATTGGAACCTAAGACTCTCAATCAAAAGTCTTAGCTCCTGTCTGATAACACTTTCAAATGAGAAAAAAAGTAAACTCTCTGCCAGAGTGTTACTGTGTAGATGAAATTAGATAAGAAACAAAGAACCCTTGTCAGAGCTCAGGCATCTACCGAGGGCTTACTACATGGCAGTAGCTGATCTCAGCTGTCATGTTATCAATGTCCTTTCTACTACATGGAATGATCTATGAGTGGGCTTTGCACACCCATACTTCTCTTATCTACCAACAGCAAAAGCACGCCAGGAAAACCAAGGATAAGACATAATGTTGAAGGTTAAGTACCATTTCCCAAATGCATAGCCAGACTGAGCCAAGAAATGCCATTAACTTTCTTTGACTAGAATCTCAGGGGTTGCAGGTTGCTCTCAATAAAGCCATAGCTCAGAAAGCAAGCCACAGCTGATCTATAACAGCAGCCCATTAGACCTCCAGACCAGTTTCCCCTTAGTCTTGCACATTGCATGGTGTTAATCACTTTGCTACCTTGGTTCTGAGTTAGCAATACATTAATTTCTTGTTGGCCAGGGGACCTGCTATTCGCCTCACTTTCTGCTGGAGCACACACACGCACACACGCGCATGCACACACTTGGACAGTAGCTAGATCTAGAATATAATTCTGTGTATTCTTCTAGAACAAAATTGCCTCTGCCATCAGACTCTGACTGACTTCCAATACCAAATAAAATGACCAAATTAGGGAAAACTCACCTCTTACCTTCCTTGAACCCCCATAACAAAAACCCACTTTTGAAGGGGAGATCTGATTATTGAAGGGAAAATGGAGCCAAGTACAACACTTTGTCTGGTTTTGCAACTTTGTGGGGGGGGCAAACAACAAGTGGTTTGTCCCTTGAGTAGTTGCTTCAATAAACATGGACAACATCAAGCTTCTTGCATTGAGCTAGACCCTGTGACCTGGAGAGGTCCCTGCTTTGGAGATTGCTGCTCTGTGATAGAATTAATGAACACTAGAGGAAGTTCCTAGAGAGTGACTACAGACAAAGACTGCCCCCCACACAAACAGGAATCAAGAAAAGAACCTGAGAGAGAATAACTAGTGAAATAGAATGAGAATCAGGGCAGGGCGGTTACCTTTGTGATTCAAATGAGGTACTTCTAGGCAACACTATCAAAAAGTAAAGATGCAGACTCACAGTCATGGTGCTAGTCTGTCAGTCATTCAATTACATGAAAGCCCAGGGACTCTAGATGGCCATGCCATTTTTTGTTATATCCCTTCAGCTCTAAACCATCCAATAGGGACAAGATCATAGGAGGAGAGTGACCAGGCTGTCCAACCTCCAGCCCACCTAGAGGGGAGAGTTTTTGACTCACCTTGTGTTGCAACCGGAATGCCAGGATAAGCTGAAGGCTTCAGAAGGGAAATGCATGGTGGTGGCCGCTTCAGGGCACCCCTCCAATAGCTTGGCCACATGCCATGAGTGCGGCCTACTGACAGGGATGTTTCTCCTACAGCAAGAAAGAGCCAGGAAGTCAGTGTTGAAATCACTCCCAAGTGACTTCCGTCCCTACCTGCTCTTTCCATTCAATGAGCTAGATTATCTTCCAAGGAGTTAGTGTAGACATCTAAGTGTTCCCCTTAGCTCTACTACTCGAATTTCCTTTATTCAATGGATGATTGCTAAAGACATAAAATGTCAGCTTCAATGGAAATGTTTTGTTCCTAGTCATATCCAGGTATTGTTGGGTGGTGGGGGAGGGAGGGGGGAGGGAGGGAGGGAGAGAGAGAGGGGGAGAGAGAGAGAGAGAGAGAGAGAGAGAGAGAGAGAGAGAGAGAGAGAGAGAGAGAGAGAGAGAGAGAGAGAGAGAGGGAGACCCTGTCTTGAAAAACCAAAGCAAACAAATAAAAACATATCCAAGTATGGACACTAATGTTAAACACACAGTAGATTCTCACTAAAATTTGTAGATTTCACAAGAGCTGCTGACTACCAGTATTTGTCTTTGAAGGAAAAATATCAATATGATCAATCTCTCCATTTTTCTCTGCAAAAGGAGGTAAGTGGTTAAGATGCTTGAGCATGTCAGTAGTGGAGTATGAATTGCTCAAATTTTCTTCATTAATTCTACAAGTATTTATTGTATATTTACTATAAGACTTCTAAAATACATGTAGTTCTGAGGGGTATGGCCATGAGTCAAAGTCTATACCTCTGAGAGCTTGCTGATTCATGAAAGAACTAGAACTAATTAAAATAAAATATCATAAAATGGTCCTAGATACTGAATGTTAGGACGGACACAGGCACACATAAGTGAGGTACTTGCAAGCAAACTCATAGCAAGGAGTCTAAACTCTTGTGAGGAAAAAAAGGACAAAGTGGTGATCGGCTAGGGTGACAGAAGAAACTGGCTGAAAATTTAGCATGCCAGGGACAAATAACTGGAAACCGGTCTGAGGTCAAGACCCCCACTATAACTAAAGGTTCTGGTCTGGGGCAACTCTTACACTGATTCGCTTGTACAAGACCAATCCATGTCAACTGCGTACTTCACATGATCAGATGCCACCCCTACAAATGGGAAAGATAACCCAGGACATGGTAGAACTAGGAGAGAAAGAGACGACTGATGGGAGAGAGAATAGAAGAAGCAGGAGAATGAAGACACAGATGAGAGAGCAGAGGGAAGAATATAGGGAGAGGGCAGAGAAGGGCCAGGCAGATGCAAAAAGCAAGGAGAGATGAGAGAGGGACAAACAATGTCAGAAAACTCTGAGAAAGCTTACAGAAATATAAGTGAATACTAGTAATGCAGTGGATGCTAGGCAGGTGAACGACACTGAGAGACGAACAAATACTAGGTAAGGAGATAATGGAGAGGTATCAAAATGATAGATGATTTAATAATTTATTCATAGCCCCCATATGGGGCACTGGTGGTACACATAAGGACTCTTGTTGTCAAAAGCTTGCTATCCTGTGGGATAAATAAATTTCTACATCTCATGAGCAATGGCAGGCAGAGTAAAGAAGGAGGATTGTAGCCTCTCAGGAAATGTAAAAATTCTGAAGATTCAGACAGCACAAGGCCAAAGCCTAAAAATGTAGTCCTGAGGAGAAAGCCTTGCTCCAGGCATATGACTGAGTGGTAATAGGCCAGACACAGACAACGGAAGATATAGGTAGAAGGACAGAGAAGGTTACTTGTCAAACAACAGGGCCATAGATCCGCAGTAGTACTAAAATCTGTGACGAGGCTCCACCCTCGTAATCACACTGTTCTGTGACAGAACACTGAGTACACAGCAAGAAGGCTGAAGGTTCCAGAAGGCACTTCACTTGCTCTATGCTTGGTTGGACTATTACACCCAAAGCTACGGTGCTGGAAGACCCTGATGCTACTCTCATTGGGCAGTCATATAGTCAACAAGTACTTATCACGCATCTCCCAGTTGGAGGAATGTGTAGTATTAGGTCTGTATACATATACTATGTCTGAAGCTTCCAAGCACTGAAACTGTAGTATGAAATAGGGAAACTTTGCTATTTTTGGTCCTTCTTCCACAGCCAGGAATTTTGAGGTTCTTCGGAGTCCACAATGTAAACTAGTAAGCATTGATCTTCCCAATTGTTTAGCCCACTATTCGTTCTATCAAGTGTTCTTTTATGAGGTATCTTTGGCTTGTCTGCATTCTCCATCTTTCTACCTTCCATTTCCCCTTTTCTCTCTCTTTCCTCCCTCTCTCCTCCATTTTGTTACCATTATAAAGTCATAATTCTCCTTCTAGAAACCCCCACTACTACCTTTCAACTCTAGTCCATGCCCTCAACATTGTATCCAAAGTACTATGTCCACTTGCCAAAGAGTATATTCTTGTTTTATTTCCATTTGTGGTTTTTAGGTTCTACCAGGTTAAATAACAACTGAATTGGATGGGCATTCTCTACCACTAAATCACAATTTCTTACCCTGTGCTGCTTCAAATATAAACTACACCGGACTTTCCAAGTCTCTATAGGCTGTATCATACCATACTTTGATCTCCCTGCTCTGTAGCTAGCTCTGTTCTTTCGCAGATCTCTTTTACTGGTGTTCTTTTCCCAGCAGAATTTACCCCAGTGATTGGACTGCTTTGATTTGAATCCCAACTCTATCAACAAGGGAAAACTTCTCAGAACTATCATTTCCATAGCAGTTAAATAGGAGATATTCCCAATGGTCATTAACTTGCACATCTTTGTGGACATGAGGTTCTAAACACTGTATAAATTAAATAAATATGTATTTCTAGTGTCATCTCCTCCCGGGAGTCTATCTCAAGTAATGTAGCTCATCAAACATGTTATTTTGTACTGCTTATCAGCATTTCATGTATATTAGTTTTGTTCCACTAACTATATTAAACCAGTATTTTACACGTGTGCCTCTATAAGAGTCAAGCCATCTGAGCTCCTGTTCTTGTGAGAAATAGAAGAGTGGTTCTCGCCTGGCTAGGTTTACTACAGCAATTAGAAGCAGCATCCTCACCTGCCTATGTTAATGTGGGTATTAGAGGAAATATTCTCAAAGCATCCAGTAGTCTAGTGTTTTACCAAGTGGTCAGTAAATCCCATGGACTACAGTATTGGCTATTACCTCAAACTTGCCCTTTTAGATGGCTCAGAGCACTTGCAACCAAGTGGGCCTGAGAAACTTTGGTCAAGGTTCTGCTGTACTACTCCCTTGCCACACTTAAAACAGTAGCTGATAAAAGCACCCACAGTCTCTAGGGTTTCTCCAGGAGTAGAAAATAATCCCAGAGAAGACAGAGGAAGGCAGGGGGACACTGGGGACACTAGAAAAAAAAGAAACACTGAGAGGAAGGAAATCTCAGCAGAGGACTGGAGCCAGATCGAGTACTATTTAACACTAGTTTAAGAAAGAGAAGAAACAGTTCACAAGCCTAGCACCTGGCCTATTATCATTTGTGAACTGTCCTAGACTCAACACAAACTTGTACTCAAACCCTAGTTGTGTAACCTTGCCCAACGCGTTTCCGAGGTGCAGGTTTTTACTTGGGGCAAGGAGGCTGGGCTGGAACCCAGGACCATAGTTGCAAGGCAAGTACTCTACCACACCATCAGAGCTTGAGTTGTATATTTTTTTGTGTATTCTTTATATGTAAAATGGGATGATGGCCATCTATTTCTCATGAGCTATGGTTTGGTTTAAATGATGCAGTCAGTCCCAGGTGTGGAACTGATTAGCATAGTGCTTGATACCGATAGTCTATAAACCTACAAAAAATACAACAGGCGCCTCTATTGAACACTCAAGCTATGTCAGATACTAAATACCTCATATGAATTAGCTGGTTTAATCCTCACTTCAATGTCATGTGTAAGAACCATTAGCATGCCCATTTTATCAATGAAGAGAGATGCAGAAAGCTTAAATTATTTGCCAGAAACACACAGCTAGCAACTAGATCTATGGTTAGAATTAGAATCAAAATTCAGATCTGGGACTAGCAAGGTGGTTCCACAGGTAAAGCACTTGCCACACAAGCCAGATAACCTAGATTCCATACCCAGAAGCCACATAAAGGTAGAAGGGGAGCACCAAAGACACAAAGTTGTCTTCTAACTTCCACAAGCATGCCTTGGTACACAGTCACACAAGAATAATAAATTTGAAGGAAAATGACTCAGATCCTCAAGCTTTTTCTAGAAAACCATATTTCCCCTCCTGCCCAAAGGGCTCAGTCTCATAAAGTTTCCATGGCTAAGGCTTGACATAACCATACCTCAAGAAGCAATAAGAAAAAGGAGGTCTCGGTGGCTCTGGATTTAAAACTATCTCATCCAGTGGAGAAGGGGGAGAATGAGAAACGAGTAGTAGAAGGCAAGCTCAGGCATCAAATATACAGTCCAACCCCAATATAGGGATGACTAGAACCCTCATCTTTTCCCTAAAGCTGGGTTAGGCACTATGATTGAACATAGTCTATAACTTATTATCCTTAAATGCCTGTATCAGGGAAAAACCTAAGACAAGGAAGAAAGACAGCAGCAGGAGGAAAAAGTTGGAAACTGTGGCTGTACCTACCATTGAAGTTGCTCAGAGAAGAGATGGTTTATGAGAGATTGGAGTATCCAGCTAGTTCACAGTCTCATCATCAACCACTCCAGTGTCTTCGCTTAGCTGAGGACCATCAGCCCTCTACTTAAGACCTCCCTGGGTGTCAGGCCAGCAGCCGAAGATCCTAAATGTCATCCAAGAGTTCAAGTGGACAGCAAACCAAAGCTCTCAAGCTGCTTGGGGTTTTCTGTGTCCAAGGCCTTAGGGGATGTCAGCCAGTGTCAAAGGCTGGATAAGAGTAAAGACACAGCTCCAGGAACCAGCCAGCGCCCTAGCGGCAAAGAGAAGGAGGAAAGGCAGTTCCAGCAGCAACCCTCCCTACCCTCCCACCCCCACCGCGTTCCTGACTCCTACCTCCTCTGTGCCCTGGCCCATCCCATCCACAG